ATAAAAACTGAATGCAATGATGTAAAGGTGTCAACATCTACAAAGTACTAATGTTTTTCTTTACAAGTTGTATTTTTGTTGGATGTAACTGGGACCCTATGTACATAGTTTTGTCTCACCTCATGTACCACATGCGGTGTGAATGACAATAAAATCCTTGTATCCTTGTTAAATACATCGTTGTAGTCTACATGAACTACAAGTCCCTTGTATCTTTGCTCTGCGTGCTGTTGTCAAACCGGATATATTTTTTTTTTCTTTTTTGCTGAGTTTAGGTTTTGAACCGCACGAGCGAGCGGGAGTGTTACTACCGGATTTTTACTTCAATCGTTAAAAGAGTGAGTGTTGAGGTAATGACGATATATTTTTAAAATGAGTACATAAGACTTAAGTTAAATTTATGGTAAGTGAGTCCATAACGACCAGTTTAAACCGTGAACTACCGGCTCCGCGAACCCATTATCTGACGGAAAAAGGCCGGCTGAGTTAAAGACATGCTCCGTTTCACGTGAATGGCACTAACGCTAGCTAGGTTTTCTGTTTCGTACCTTGATAAACAAATAGGGAGTTAAATGTTTTCACTGTTTCATAGTTATGATTTTGTGCGTTTGATTTTCTAGAAAACACGTTTTATGTTGTTGCCGCGCATCTGCGTCAAATCCGAAGCCGTTAGCAGTTAGCGGCCGCTGGCTAATGTTAGCCTTCAGCAGGAAATTACACCGGCGTAACTTTATGCTAATTTATCAGGAAGCCACCACGCATACTGTCCAGCCTTAAGCATTAAACACGTTGGTTTAAATCTAGCAATACTCCCACAATTGTACCATTAATGTTGAGTTCAAATAGATGGATAGACGAAGTCCAGGATTTATCAGTTTATGAGTTTGGTTCATTTCCAAGTATGAAAGATTTAAATCCTAAAAGTGCCACGAGCTTCTCCGCATTGAATGTAAACAAGTGCTCAGCAGCTTTTGTTCTGAACTCACTCTATGGACCAAGCACTCGAGAAATAAAAAAGCTAGAATAATCATAGCGTTGCTGTGTGTTTTAAGAGGGACTCCTGGTAAGCAGTCTTTGTAGTGCTGCTATATCTGTGGTGCACATTAAACGTGAATAATGTGTTTGGTCCTCAGGTGCTCCAATGGCGACAGACATTATTGCACAGTTGGCTGACTCTCTGGCCAAGACTGCTGTCAAAGATGGAGAGCTGAGTTACAAAGGTCAAGGAAGAAAGCTGGATGATGCCAAGTCAGGTAACATGTTTTTACACAAACTACCTCTTTAGACTTGCAAAACACTCCCTTTTGTATTTATATGTCTTCACTATACACCAAACATTAATAATACCTGGCTTGGTTGTGAACGTGAAAACACTTGCTCTTTCTGCAGTGGAGGACATGGTGAAGGAGATCCAGGACTTTGAGGGCTTGCAGGCTCTCAGACTGGAGGGAAACACGTTTGGTGTGGCGGCAGCACAGGCCATCGCCAAGACTCTGGAGACGAAGAGCGACTTCAAGGTTTTTGCATTCATACTGTTTGTCATCGTTGGTTTTGTGACTCTTGCTGGCAGTTTACTTGCAAGACTAAACTGTCAGCGAAATGAAAAGAAATAGAGTATAAAGTAACACATTTGAGATTTTTATTTTCTAGATTTGATTTTAATGGTTAATGAATTTCAGACACTACAGCCAAAAATTACTTGTCATATTTTTTCCTGAATGAAAGTTGTAGCAGCAACCTGTTGTGTTCAACCCACTCTACAATACTTAATCTGTTTGCTTTCACCAGTACCTACTCTCTTTGAATAGTTTTTGGGAAAAAATTTGATTGCTTAAATTTTAAATACATATTTAATTGTCATTGACAGTTCTGTTTTTGATGTTAAATAATGACCACGATTAAAAGTGCTGCAGTGTTTTCGCACTAAGATAAGTTCAACGTTGCATTTTGACCAACATATTGTACACATGTGTTTACTTATTGTTTATTTGTCCCCCCTCAGCGCTGTTATTGGAGTGACATGTTTACTGGTCGACTGCGTTCTGAAATCCCTCCTGCCCTGGTAATGTGCCTGTTCCATTACACCAAGTGTCCAATCTTGAGCCTCGAGGACCACTATCCTGCATGTTTTACCTGTCTCCCTGCTCCAGTCCACCTTATTCAATGGTTGAATTACCTCTTCGTATTCTTAAAGCCTAGTAATCATCCACTGATTCAAATCAGGTGTGTTGGAGCAGAGAAATATCTAAAACATGCAGAACTCGAGGATCAGGATTGAACATTACACTAATGTTCATATTAGGTGACAATAAGGTTGATTTGTGTCACACTAGGGCTGGGCAATATAATTTCATACGTGATATAAAATGACTGTTTTGATATCAAACGATATAGTCTTATACTCTGCGTAGTTATAATTATGCTAGAAAATCTATCAGTTTTTCTCCCAGTCTGCGCCTTCACACGGCCCCTCCCTCCTCTCTCCCTCACTGAATACAAACCCACCCCTCCCCCGCCGAGTGCTGCATCTGAAGACTTTATTTGAATTATTAAGCTGAGCTAAGCTAGATGCATATGCAGGTGTCTTTGTTGACTCACAGTGGAGACACTCTGGTGACACGGATGTAAATTCCTGACGGGTGTGAAAATGACGATAGCTGCTCAAAAGTAGAGGTTTGGTGTTCTCCAGGAAATTAACTGGTTTAGAGTGGCAAGGTATGAAGTTGTCTTCTCATTAAAAAACATGAAGACAAATATCCAGTTTAGGGTGATTTGCTGTGTTTCTTCTGGTATTTACACACATTAATAACCAGTAAAGAACAAACAGAAGCTCAAGGTTCAGCAAAGCAGCAAGGCTCCGTCGGTGTCTGGAGAGAAACAAACTCCGACCGACACACGCAGCTCTGCACTTTACACAGAGCGGTGCGTTCAGTAGCGTCGGCACAAACAGCCACAGCGCATTCAAGAGCAAAGGAACCATGATATTCAGAAAGAACCGAGCTCAGTAAACAAGCCAACTACACAACAATGTGGGCTTTCTAACAGCTTTGTTAATAAAGGTTGAATGAATATAATTCATTAGAGTCAGACTTTTTAAAGAGCAAGTCAGCCTTTCGTTATGTTTGCTCCGTTCTGTTTACATTTTAAGTGCACAGCTATGTTTTTGGTTTTGTTATGGAGGAAAAAAACATGATTTTTTTTAGACATTTATTTTGTACAGTTATAGTTTTGTTAATAAAGGTGCCTGTGTGACAGTTGAGACTAAGCTTTGACTCAAATATATTTTTGTTATTACTTTATGGAAAGAAAAAAATATTGAGATATATATTGTATATTGCCATTTTTCTTAATATCGAGATTTCAATTTTGGTCTATATCGCCCAGCCGTATGTCACATTTTTCGCAAAAACAATGCTCTAGTTGGTTTGTTTTTGTACACTGCTTTGATATTCCTAGACTTATTTTTGCGTGCTTTTGTCTGTTTTGGTGTTGTAGAATTCACTGGGTGATGCACTGATGCTGGCCAGTGCCCGTCTGACTGTTTTAGACCTCAGCGACAACGCATTTGGTCCAGATGGTGTAAAGGGCATTGAGAAACTGCTGAAGAGTGTTACCTGCTTCACGTTGCAGGAACTTCGTCTCAATAATTGCGGCATGGGCATCGGAGGCGGAAAGGTTAATCAAAAGCTCAGACTGACGGGGATTATTAAAGAGACAATGATTTACATATATATGTTTGAGAGAATGTATTAAACATTATTTGGTGCCTGAAATCCTCAGATTTTGGCCTCATCGTTGATTCAGTGTCATCACAAATCCAGTGCAGAGAACTCCCCCCTCAGCTTGAAGGTGTTTGTTGCTGGAAGGAATCGACTGGAAAATGAAGGAGCCACTGCACTCGCTCAGGCCTTCCAGGTACAAAACTGTCCGCTGTGCCCACTTTAAAATACTTTTAGACCGAGTGTTTCTAATGACTTTACTGTGGTTCCTCAAAGCTGTAACTTTCTGTTATTTCTGCTTGACTGAGTGAATGTCCCGTTACATTTTTTTTATTTGTTTGTTTATTCCTAGCTGATGAGCAGCCTGGAGGAGGTTCATATGCCTCAGAATGGCATCAATCACTCGGGTGTGACCGCGCTGGCCACAGCCATGCAGCACAACCCAGGACTCCGAATCTTAAACCTCAACGACAACACCTTTACTGAAAAGGGGGCTGTTGCCATGGCTCAGGTACCAAGATGTTTGAGATATGAAGTGACTGCTGGCCTGTCGTCGTAGTTGTTGCTATTGTAGGATCATTTCAGAGAGAGAGAGATAAAAAAGTTGTGAATTTTTCTAACCACAAGACTGAAAAACAAAAGATTAGATGATATAATAGATGGATATTTCAATAAAATTCATAAAAATTTGACATTACTACCTGCCCAGTGATCTTTGTAAATGATAATGATTTTTGGCACTTTTATCAGAGTGTGAAACTGAAGTGAGCTCCAAGAGATCTGAATAAAGTAGCGTTGCAAGCATAGTAAATTTCATCCTCTGGTTCAGACAAAATTCACTCTGAAGTAAGAATAGGACAGCACTAGTTTATGTAACAAGTACATAAAAAGCTCAAAATACATAAATGTTTGAAAAACATATACAAGATCAACAGACCAACAAAGCCAGTACTTTTACTTTATCCATAAAAATTAAATACGTTTTCACAGCTCTGCTGAAAGGCTCTACAGTCAGTGATGATTCTCAAAATGTGCTAAAAAATAAAGACTTTAATATTAAATTAAAATGAAAAATAAGTCTTACTGTAATAATGCAAACAGTTGTGCATCACTATTCATGTTTTTTTTATTATTATTATTTTAATGGCTGTAGCAAAACATTATCTGTTGTTCCAGGCGCTGAAACACCTCCGCAGCGTCCAGGTGATCAACTTTGGAGACTGTCTAGTTCGACCAGAAGGCGCTAAAGCAATCGCAGAAACTGTATCGGAGGGACTGCCCATCCTCAAGGTGAGTGAGGACCAGAAATTATCTCCAGGTCTGAACACACGAGCTGTTCTAATAAATTGTTGTTGTTTGTCAGTGTCGACATGAATGTTAGAGGCAAATCACTTTGTATTATACTGTTTTGTTTAAACATCTTGAATAATTTTTTTAAAGTCAAAACTAGATTAGCAAACACAAATATGCAGAAAAGGGCAGATCAGCATTTGTTAGTGTAAAAATATTGTCCGTTTCCATTTGTGGTTTTAGTAGCAAACACAAACTGTTAACATCAATTCAGAGACAAACTTTCCAATTAAATGTAGTTCCACTCATCTAGTAGGTCCTGGAATGAAACATGCAGCTTAATTTGATCTTATTGTACACAGACAGGGTAAATTAATATTTTTAAGTATAATAAAGCCCTAATTGTATTGATTTCTGTATCATGGTGTAATTTGTGTCCTCTTTTAAACTGTTTTATAAATGCAATTTTTGCAAATGAGAGCTTTAATGACTCAGAAAATAGATTTGCAATAAATAAATAAATAAAAATTATCCCCTTCCTTCTCCCATCAGTGACTATTTTGTTCAATTCAACAGGAACTGAATCTGTCGTATGGTGAGATCACAGCAGAAGCAGCTCTGGCTGTCGTACAGGCAGTGAAGAACAAGGACCAGCTGGAAAAACTGGATCTGAATGGTACAGAAGATCTGTACACATTTACATTTCAATAACAATTTTATTATATTATATATATATATATATATATATATATATATATATATATATATATATATATATATACACACACACACA